CATTGTTCATCGCTTTTTCCTTACTCATCCGATGAATTTTAGCTCGCTGAATTCGATGACCGTTAACCGTTGCTTCCAATATTGAAGAAAACTAGATCACGCAAATGAATAGATTCTCCTTGATTTTTCAAATCGTTTTTAATAAACTTGAGATGGCCAGAGCCATCTAGAGCCGGATTGGTATAGCTCTAGCTTTGAGCGAAGTCTTGAAACAGATACATGGGAAGATTTAGTGACGATGGATGCTAAATCTACTCACCAATCTTATTTCATGCTTGTTCGCTTTTTTGAGTCACAAGAAAGCGACTGATCTACCAACGTCATTAGGCATCTCCTCTGTTTGATAACGAATACACAATCATGAGAGGAAAGGTAAAAATCTCTATTTGACATTATTGAATCACTTTCCTTCAGTATCAGATCATCAGAACTGCAAGAAGGCAGTGGATTGATCGATCAAATCAAAATCACTTTCAAATACCTACCGTGTCATTTGATCAATAACACTGCAACAACTTAAATTGTAACGTTTCTTCCTCGTTACTGAACCGATTTGCACAATTGTTAGCTCATTAGAACCGCAAGAAAGCGACGGATCAATCGATCCAATAATAATTACTATAGTGTATTTCCCGTGATTTTTATTTAATACACAATCATAAGAAGGCAGATAACACTGTCTACTTGGCATTATTGAATCAATGTCCTTCAATAGTAGACCATTATAATTACAAGAAAGCAGAGGATCAATTAATCTGATTTTAATCACTATAACATAAATCCCTTGATATGTAATGTAAGTACAATCATTACAGTCTAAACTCACTTGTATCTTTCTCGTTATCAAACAGCTGTCCTTGATTTTTAATTCATTAAGTTCACACAGAAGCAAAGAACTGGTTGATTCAATCAACCCATTTAATTCAGGAGTTCCAAAAAGAAACTTGATTCAGAAAACTGTTGAAGAAAAATCTTAGGATCCTCTGCTCACCCTCTATTCCAATCCAAAACTATATAGTTAGATTTTAGTTGAGTTGTAAAGCAAACTACATTGCATAATCAATTGCCTATCATTTTTGTTTTCTATTCAATTTATATGATTAATGGCTCATCAGGATTGCATGAAGGCTGAAAATCATATTAGTTTAATCAAATTCCTTGTAGTTGAAGTCCTCATGACTTGAAGAAGTAAAAGAAAGAATAAAGGTATCTCTGCTACATGATTGTAGCATTACCTGTTAATTAAGATCAACTCAGCTCCTTAAAGTTTTTCATGACTTTATACCAGACTAGATTTGATCTATAAACAATAATTCTTCAACCTTTGATCAAAGTACTAACTTATAGATCACTCATGGTCAGACCTGCTAAATTCTGTCTTCTCTTCATTTGCATTAGGAAATAAGAAGTTCAAGTAGTTGTCAACTCCAATTCCTTTTCCAAATTGAAATGCTAAAGTTTAAAGCTAATATTATTCTAAGTAGAATGGAAACACAGCTTAAGACTGGAGCTCTGATTTTTTTTCATAAGAAACCTTGTTATCAGAGGTAGTAAAACCAGTAAAATTTCATGAAGCAGACCATTGCTCTAAGCTGATATGAGATTCAAGTCAAGAATCTGGTTAAGAGGATTGAATCAATTATTCTTCACATCTATGAAAGCATTTATGAAAGCATTTCAGCTCACAATCATACATATGGACATGATTTATATGACACATACTGTGTGACTGGGCAACCAAAAAGAATCACTGATTGTTTACAAAAATGTGATTAGTGAAATCACCAAGTGAAGCTTCTAAATCAATCAAAGAGCTAGAAACATAAATTGAAAAGACAGCTGAACTGATAGGGTGAGAAATAGTAGTAGAACCCATGATAGGATGAATTTTTGGAAATGACCACAAGAACATTTTAAGAGTTGGTATACATATTGCAAATCATTCAATGCATGTTTTGCATTCCTTATTCTTATAAATCAGTGGTCCTTTACAATCACCCAAGCACAAAGAAACAACCTGAAAACTTAAGGTCTTCACAGATTAACTAAACAGACTTTGTTGCCAGAAATTGCATGTGATTATCCATGGTTATACATGTTGAGAAGCCAAATGGTAAAATCTTGCAATTTTTGTTTTTTTTTTGATTCTCTGTAGAGAAATTAAATCTACAAAGAGTTCCCCAAAGGCTATAAAACTTTACATTGTTGATGGCAGGATAGATGACCCTGAGTAAGAGGATCAGTAAGAATCTTTGTCTTTAGTGTTTCTTTAATCACTTTGCACCTACCACTACCAACTTGTGCCCATGAGTAGCATAGGTGAAGTTTTCAGCTATACATCTTAATTTAATCTGAGAGAAACAGAAAGAAATAATTCAGTGTAACCGAGATGATTGCATTAAATAATGAATCCATGGATTGAAAGAATGATAATTCCTTGAAAGCTACTATATCTATAATCAAAATTAACTCATCAAAAACTACTAAGCTACTTGTTGGATCAATTCTTGAATACAAAAATTGAGCCAGACAACTTGTTCCAATTCCAAAGCAATTTTGAGGAAGTTCTCTTCAAAAATTGAAGTGATTCAAAAATTTGATGGAGCAAATATTGGAGGTATAACTGAAACTCTAAGATTTACAAAGATATCCATTTTTCTTTCTTTCCAGCAAAAATTTCACCTCTTCAATGGGATGCTCAACTTTTTCTCAAGTTATACAATGTGGTAGGATCCTTTGAAAATCAAAACACAAATATTCCACAAAGCTGATACAGCCACAGCAGAGGTTTTAGTCTATGTAGTATGGATGAAGATTTAAGAACCCTCTAAGATTGAATATAAGATAACTATAAATTATTTGAATTCCCTTTTTAGCTGGGTGGATTATCAAATTTTCTCTACTATCTTTTGACAGACATTTGTAAGAATTTTCTTGTGTACCTTCTTCTCAAGATGGATGTCATAATGATCAATCCTCATTTTTCTCTTGGAAAATTGACATATAGACATGGAAGATTAAGTATAAATACACACTGAATACCATGATTAAAGTAAAACTAAGTGCAGATAACAGGAATGTGATCAAGATGTCTGAACATGAAAAATTTCTTGAAGAAAAGTAATGCATGAAAGCAAAACCCTCAGCAGCAGGTTAAAGGTTCCATTTCTTGGAAATGAAACCTCTTTGGCGGTATGGAATGTCAGCCTTAGAGCCAACCAAGTTAGCCAAAAGACTGCTTAAGTCCTCCTTTTCAGCTATGTTCCTACTGTAACTTTTTTATCTCATGATTTTATTACATTCTGACTTCAGAAATGAATTCCTCATGTGATTTCAACCTTAGTCACCACTACACACTTTTACACTACTCTTCTCCTTCATAGACTTTGTAATATTTCACTGTACCTTGTGAAATATCAACCAAGTTGGAATTCCAACTCTCTACCACATGTACATGCTTTGATTATGTAATCCAACTCTGAAAATTCTCTCAGAGGATACTGAGTTCCCATTTTCAGGATTTTCAGACTCCAGACCACCCAGAAACCCCAACAACCAGTACCAGATCCAGCTCACACTTATCAACCAGAAGAACCTTACTTTTCCTGCCTTTCCCACTACTCAGTGTCATTGGTGTCATCAGTAAGTTACTTCTTTAAGTCCAGCTAGCATCTTTCTGCTTGTTTTCTTTCTCAGTCTCTCTCACCTCTTTCTCTTCCTTCTCTAAACCAAAAGCCCTGATCAACCAAAGCTCCACTAGCTTCAAAGATTCTTCTCTTTTATTGTTTGGTAGTAAAACTGAAAACTACATAGGTTTCCCTTTAAAGAACCTTGATCATCCTTGATCTAAAAAATTGTGGTTGATCTGATTTATCAGAATCAATAACCCATTTCAGTTTCTGTTGATTTGGAGGCGTCAGAGTTAGCTCCGCTTATAACAGCTATCCTACTAAGGAAAATAAGACTGTCAGCAGCCACCCTCAGAGGAAGTAAGACTGTCAGAATCTAAATAATCTTCACAAAATAAACAAACAACAAAAAGATTACTCATTTCTAGTCTTCTCTTTCTTTCCTTCTCTCTTGATTTTATTGTATTTCTTTCCTCTTAAGAAATACATATAAAATTGCCCCCCAACACCTTGTGTCCTGCAGTCACTATTGAGACCCAGGCTCACACACGCACACTACTAACTAATTGTGACCAACTTACTCCTGTAGGTTGATGATCCTATATTCACTAACTAACACTAATTCTAACTCTTCAAACTTTACTGACACTCCAGAACACTTCCGGTAGCTCAGGACCAAACTTACTGCTCTGAGAGACTGTTGTAGGCTGATGGGGGAAAAGAGAATCCTGGTGGAGAGAGGCCCTCCTTTTATATTGAAGAGTGAGGGATTTCTGCTGCAGGGGACTCCTTGTGAGACATTTTTGCTGCAGGTGACACACACTTGCACAGCATGATGTCATTGGTTGCTATGAAACCAAGCCATGTAGCATGTGCTGAAACCTTCCAAAGCAGTAATCCAGTACAGTATACAGTCTTATGAGATCTGTGACTTGGAAACCAAATCCACATTCCAAATGTTCTGTGTTTCATCTCAACAGATGAAGCAACAGACGAAACATCAGATGAAACACTTGCTTACTTCCTTCCTTGTTCATTCTTCAGGGTCAAAGCCTCTCTGCCTACCTTCCTTCTCCCCTCCTCATCAACTGTCTTATGTTCTTTTCCACTGATTACACAATAAATAAACCCACATTACATAACCTACCCATGCACACACCACCCCTACATATGTATACCGTATCCTGATGTTGTATGTCCTATGTAATGAATGTTCCTCCTCTTGTAATGAATGTTAAGTGTGTGTCGCTATCACCTATTCTGTATGCTTTTGGCATTGGAACAGGCACAGCACACCACACCGTCCAATTTTCCTTTTTTTTTTTACACAAATCTTGATATCAACACCCACCACCATACATCTTCCATATCATGCCTCCCAAAACTGTTGTTCTCGATCCACTTCTATCCTTGATGACTCCCACCACACCAACTGCAACGACTCGAACGACACCAACAACTCGGCCCGATCCCAACGCAACCCCAACAGCCTTGGTGACTCAACCCGCTCCTTCAACAGAGGCACACAACGAAAACGATGAAGCCCCAAAGAAAAAGGCGCCAAAGTGGACTACTGAAGAGGATAAGCAGCTTTGTGCTGCATGGTTGAATACGAGCCGCAATAGTATTGTCGGGAACGGTCAGAAAGCGGGAACCTTTTGGGAACGAGTGCACCAGCTCTACACCGATTTGGTTGTGGATTTCAACAAGGACAACAAACACTCAAAAACTCAGAAACCTCTACCTGTTTGACTCACGAATGCTGTTGAATGCCGTTGGGGTCACATCATGAGGGTTTGTAACAAGTTCGGCGGAAGTTACTCACAAGTGGAGCGTCGACTGAGAAGTGGAATGAGCCGAGATGAAATTGTTTGTCTGCTTTGCTTTCACAACTTGTCCTTGGTCGATTCTAAGCTGATTTTGTTTGTATTTCAGCTTTCCGAGGCAAAGGAGCTCTACAAATCTGAGAACGAGACGGCATTCAATCTCGATCACTGTTGGGTGATCTTAAGAGAGCACCCCAAGTGGCAGGCTACTCAGCAAGAGAACGATCTCAAAGCCAAAAAGTCAAAGGAGGCAAGTAGCACACCTGAAACCGACGAGGCTGTGCCATCAAGCCCCCAAGCTGGTACTCAACCCGACGACGAGGACGAGCAATCAAACCGTAGCGTCCTGGGATCCGAATCGCGTTGTAAGACTCAAGAGTGGTTGTGAAACCCTTTTGCTGAATGGAGAAGGGGATGATGGAGTTGCAAGCTCTGCCCTTCTATGCTATCAGAACAACAAGACCACCAAGCTCAGCTTGGCAGTTTATATATCGTGATAGAGGATAGTTCGAGATGAAGCTGTCAAATGATACATATAACGGTTGAAGGTGTTGATGATTGTTGTTGATGAAGTTGTTGATAGAGGTGTCAATGATAATTGTTGAGAGTGAGGCTTGAACGCGCAACCTCGAGGTTGATGGTATATAGATTTTATGCTTCGACCAGGAATGGAAAGGAGGACCAGGCACAGGTGGAGGTAAGTTGGAGTTAAGGTGGAGTTAAGATGGAGTTGAAGTGGAGTTAAAGTGGATGTCTTGAATGGGAATTGAACACAGGTCCTTGCGGTTGGGGTGTATAAGGGCAAAAAGCAGTGGATTTCAGGCAAAGGTGAGATAGCTTAATGGTTATGAAAAAAAGTAATATTGTCATTTCTACACTATAAAGAACTGTTATGATATATATAAAGGGGGGTTGTAATTGTAAAACCTCAATACTAGGTAGCTGATAATATTGAAGAGTGACCAGTGATGTAGTGTTATAGGGGGAACTGACTACAGAGCATCTGATGAGGAGGGAATACAACTGGCAGGCAGAGGCCTTCTTATATAGACAAAAGTGAGGGAATTTAGCTCCAGGGTACATGCAGGTGAGGGAATTTAGCTAGCCTGAATATCCAATGAGGGAATTTAGCTAGTCTAGTACATGCAGGTGAGGGAATTTAGCTAGTGATAGCACAGCCTTGAGGGATTTTGGCTGGCCTACAAGGTCCTGCTACAAAGGAATGCATGTGCACCAACAAAGGAATTCAATATGTAATATGAGCTAGTAAAGGAATTCAATATGAAACAAAGGAATTCAATATCCAATATGCATCCAGTATTCAAATTGAGCTATAGTCAGAGTAAAGGATCCAAGAGATATCCTGTGATAGGTTGAAATAGGTGTAACTTCTGAACTAATAGAGATAAGGGGGTAGTTGTAGTGGGTCACTAGGGGTTATTTTACCTCAGGAATCCATTTTTGATGTTTCTTTTACCTTATATCTGATGTAGAAAAAGATGAGAATAAATTTTTATATTTTTGACGTAGAAACACAGGAATAACTACCACAGCGTCCAGAAGGCAACAAAGCTGCAAAGAGGAAACGCAATGAAGATGCGATGCTGGACAAGATTATCAAGACTCAAGAAGAACTTGTCAAGATCTCCAAGGAACGTTCGGCCTCAGTTCAAAAGGCAATGCAGGAGGCTCCAGCAGCAAAGCAGTCAGAGGCCAATGATTGGATCATGGCTATGGACATCAGTGGAATGGATGATGAGGCCAAAGCTTACTGGCAAAAAAAGAGGCGCACAATCTTAGATCGTTCTTAGTAGATACTGGTCTAGTCAGATTTATTTGGCCAAAGCAAGCTCTTTTGTAACCATTTTTTTAACAGTCGCTTATTTAAAATAAATTGAAATTCAACATGATTGCCAACAGCCACTATCAAATTAGATTAAATTGTGAAGAGAAAAAAGAACAGAACATAAATTGTGAGAGAGACAAAAATAACTAACAGAAAAAAGAGAATCACAGTCGGAAACCTTGAGAAGTGATAGATAAAATTGCTAATTAGATTAAATTGTGAAGAGAAAAAAGAACAGAACATAGATTGTGAGAGAGACAAAATTAACTAACAGAAAAAAGAGAATCACAGTCGGAAACCTTGAGAAGTGATAGATAAAATTGCTAAGTTATGGAGTTTCACTTTCAGAACTATCTCGGCCCAACTTGGACCAAAGGTGCTCAACCAAGTCGGCTTTCAGGCGATTGTGTACATGGATGTCTCAGATTCCGTGATAACGCAAGAGAAAAGAATCGAAGTCAGAATTGGATGAGTCGCTCGTCGATATCGATGCCTGTGTGCGTACATTTTGATGGTACTCGAAATGTTCTTCAAATTCTGATCCGGCCTCATCTTCAATAGTCATATTGTGTAGAATAATGACCGTCCTCATGATGAAACAGAGGTTGGAGTGATTCCAAAGTCGCCCAGGGAATTGAATGATGGCGTAGCGAGCTTGTAATACCCCAAAAGCACGCTCAACATCCTTGCGATATGCCTCCTGCATCTTCGCATAGTGTTTATTTTGTTTTCCCCGCGGCTCCAAAATACATTGGACAAGGGTGGCATATTTCGGATAAATCCCATCAGTGAGATAGTAGCCAAGGTTGTATTGGTTTCCATTTACAAAGTATTGAAAATTCGGGTTAAGTTGATCTTGAAATTGCTGGAAAATAGGAGATCGATCGAGTACATTTATATCATTTAGTGTGCCAGGAAGACCAAAAAAAGCGTGCCAGATCCAGAGGTTGTGTGTTGCAACCGCTTCAAGGATAATTGTTGGCTCCTTTTCCTTGCCGCTATACTGGCCGTTGTAGTGTGCCAAATGTGTTTCAAGTACCAAATTGCATAAAGTCATGATCCACTCTTGATAATAGGCTAGATTCTTGGTGTTATTATTACTTCATTAGACTCTACAGGTCATTTAACCCATAGTCACTCACTGGAACCACTAGGCTAGCTCCACTCAGTCAAAAGTTATTTGATAAATCAGTTTTTTACTACAGTATAGTATAGTTGTCTTGGGTAGTACATAGTATAGATTTATATATAAGGGCATAGTTGCAATCTTTGTTTGTACAGGCATATGTGTGATCACATGTTTAGTCACATGCTTGGATCACACGTATTTTCACATGACATCACCAGCCACACGCTTGGATCACACGTATTTTCACAACAGACCAGCAAAAATGCCTCAACATAGGATGAACATTCCGCAACATGTGTGATTTTCTGTATGGGGCAGTGCAGATCACATGACACACCAGCAAAAATGGCTCAATAGAAGATTCCAAGCAGCAAAAATCCCTCAAGGAAGAAGTCAAACCAGCATAAATCCCTCACAGGACGTCCTTACTAGCAAAAATCCCTCACAATTTACTATATAAGGAGGTCATTTCTCCCTCCTCAGATCAGTTCCTCATGCCAATCCGGCACACCTACCAGCTACACACATCCCACTCAGAGTCTTCAAGTCAAATTAAGGTAACATCCAACAGTGTGATCTCAATCAGGTGGCCCATCAACATCTTTCATACCTCAGGAAGCATAGAAGAAGTCAAGTAGCAAGTATCACCCCTTGTGCTCTTAACAAGCCAAAGTGATCTTGACCCATTTGTTCTCTTAACTGAAGATTAAGGAGGAGGGCAAAGACACTTTGAATAGTTCATATTTATCATCAGTTTCCTCTCAGTCTTTTAAACATATAAAAACATACAAAAATATCTCCCAGCTTTTCAAATCTTTCCATTATCTGATTCCTGCCTACTGTAAACCACACCAAATTCTTTCCACTCAAAATTCCACTAACTCTTCTGCTGAATCCACGTTGATCTAGGTTTGATAAGAGACTACTACATACAGTTTTCTTCATAATCAGTTTTTGCCACAACAATAAAATAAATTTGTTGTCAGAATTCTAGAGTAGTACATTAGAGGGGCAGGTCTCTCAAACCACCCGTAACAGTTGTAATAAATTCATACATACCTGAAATATCATAACTGCTATTTCCCCCTCGCAGGACTGCCATCCATCCCAAAGGAGTTCTCACACCGTGGTCTGCAACGGGGCAATTTTTCCAGGCCCAATGCATGCAGTCAAGTGAGCCCATCATGCCCGGAAAGCCTCGCTCCTCTGAGACAGCAAGTATCTTGACAAGATCATCTTCATTCGGGCTTCGTAGGTATTCTTCTGCGTATATTTGAACCATAGCAAAGCAGAATCGTTCAAGACTTTCCAGCGCAGTGCTTTTACCTGCATTTGAAGACATATCAGAAATGAAGTAGTGAGAACAATGAAATTGGAATAGAGTCAAATTACTTACTGATTCTCAGTTATTCATCAATTGAATCAGCACTGCAACCATAAGCCAACAGTCTGAATGCAGAAGTGACCTTTTGTAACGCTGAAAAGCCCAACCGACCAGCTGCATCCCTTTTTTGAACAAAATAATCATCCTTCTGAACTACGGCCTCAATGATCTTGAGGAAAAGTGATCTTTGCATCCTGAAGCGCCGACAAAATAGGTGGTCTGGGTAGGTTGGTTTTTCTGAAAAATAATCTTGGTACAGTTGCTGATCACCTTGAAGACAGTTGCGATAGATTTCTCTGAGCCCAAATGTTGATCCACCACGCCTCGGCGGCTCCCAATTTCTTCTTCTGATTATTAGAGAAATGGAGGTTTGAAGAGAGGCCAATATGTCGTCATTGTCTTCAAGCCATTCCATGGCTTCTAGTGGATCCATCGGAAATTTGTGTGTTGGGTGGTTGTGGTGGATAGAAGGGATACGTCGGTGTGATTGGCTTGTGACGGAAATCCGTGTTCCAGGGCAATCCACCCCTGCCCAGATCCACAGTCCGTATTTTTCACTGATGTGACACATTGGTGACAGTTTGGGACATCTTCCTCCAGGCTGCTGAAGGCAAGCCAACTCACCCCCGGACTGTTGGCAATGCTCTTACCCTTAAGTTATCCAGTTATTGGAAATTCTGTAACATAACCCTGTTTTGTTCAGAATTTCTGGGAACGTAACTAGAAAAAAAAGGGGCCTTTTGCTCCAGTAGATATTGTAACTGAAATAAAGATATCTGTAACTTGTGGTAAATAATACTGTGTTTCTACACAGAAAATATAAAAATTTCTTATTATCTCTTTATTCATTCAAGATATGGTAAAAATGACATCAAAAATGGAATCCTCAGGTAAAATAACCCCTAGTCACCCACTACAACCATACCCTTATCTCTTATAGTTTAGAAGTTACACAGATTTCAACCTGTCACAGGATATTTCTTGGATTCTTCACTCTAGCCATAGTCATTATGAATACAGGATGCATAC